AGGTAGTTATTCCTAACCAGCTAAATACGCCCACATAAACAAAAGACGTTTTGATGGTGACTTTGTCTGCTGAATTATGATGCGTCTGCTGCAGGGGTGATACTGCCTTGCATTGGCGCGGTGCTTGGGATTCAGGTTTATTATCTAGGATTAAAGGAGGCCGTGAGAACAGCTTCCATGAAGTTTGTTTTGGTACCAGCCAGGGTCGTCTTGGAGTGAGGCCCTCTTGGATTGTGGTTGCCAGGGCGACCAGGGTCGTGGTAGCTGCTTGTTCTGTGTGTTCCCAGGCCTGGCCTCAAATTTAGGATTTATTTAGGAGAGATACCACCCAAACCGTGTAGATACACCCAATTTTGGAAATGCCTCTTTTGACAGTAAAGCGGAAAAAGATACACAACTTGGCTACGTCTACACTGGCATGATTTTCCGAAAATGCTTTTAACGGAAAAGTTTTCCATTAAAAGCATTTTCGGAAAAGCACGTCTAGATTGGCAGGATGCTTTTCCGCAAAAGCACTTTTTGCGGAAAAGCGTCCATGGCCAATGTAGACACGGTTTTCCGCAAAAAAGCCCCGATCGCCATTTTCACAATCGGGGCTTTTTTGGGGCTTTTTTGCGGAAAACAAATCTGAGCTGTCTACACTGGCCCTTTTGCGCAAAAGTTTTTCGGAAAAAGACTTTTGCCCGAACGAGAGCAGCATAGTATTTCCGCAAAAACACTGACAATCTTACATGAGATCGTCAGTGCTTTTGCGGAAATTCAAGTGGGCAGTGTAGACAGCTGGCAAGTTTTTCCGGAAAAGCAGATGATTTTGCAGAAAAACTTGCCAGTCTGGACACAGCCCTTGAGTACCCAATTGGGACACCTCACTCCTCTGGTGCTCCAGCCCCACAGGATGAAGGGAAGGGGCAGGGAGGGCTGAGATCCAGGGCTTCCCATAGGCCAGATTTACTTTTCTGGGGTTCTGGAGTTACTGGATTTTATGGACACCCCCCCCTTAGGCTCTGGGGTGGGGACAAAAATGAGGGTTCAGTGTGCAGGACTGGGCTGCCAGCGAGTGGGATAGGGATGGGGTGCAGGATCTGGGAGGGAGGTGGGTGCAGAAGGGGGAGAGGTTACAAGATCTGGGTGGGAGGTGGGTGCAGAAGGGGGAGAAGTTACAAGATCTGGGTGGGAGGTGGGGTGCAGAAGCAGGCTGGGAGTAGGGTGTCGGGCCAGGGGGAGGGAGCATTAGCAGGGGAGGGTGCAGAAGTAACGGTGGATGCAGGGGCGTCTGGCAGGAGGGAGGGTGCAGGAACAAGGGAGGGTGTTGGAGCAACTGGGGATGTGGGGTCTTGCTGGGGGGAGGGTTACATGTCATAGTCACACCACATACCCACACGGTTATACACCGAACTCCCAGTCTCTTTTGTTCTTCTATTCTCTTAAGCTGAAGTTCAAATCTGGCAGCTTCCTGGGTGTCACGTTACCGGAGTTTAAGGGAAGCAGCCAGGTCACTGCTGCACCCATGGGGGTGGGGGGGTGTTTGCCCCAAAAGTGGGTACAAAGGGGGCCATGTGAGGTGTCAAATGAAAGCTTTCCTTCTACCGATTCTGTATATGCTCTTCGTATACCTGTATAATGTCAGTGTGTGGAGTTATGAATATGTACTCTGTATGGAGACTGGGAGTTTGTATGTGGGTGAGCAATAGGCGAGAACAGCTCAGCCTATGGCCATGCTAATTAGCAGGGATGGTACAAACGGCTATCTTAAAAGTCTCTGGTGTACATCCTGTGTCAGGACGGGTCCACGGTTCTTTCCAGCTCGCCGTTCCCTGCAAGGCTGCATCCGGGATCAGGAGCTAAACTGAAGCTTATGGCGCTTATGTATCTCTCCTGGCATCCTCCTGGCCAGAGCAGGTCGCATGGTCGAGCCGGCTGGGGCTGGGGGGGGAGGCCTGGCCGGGGGCCCGGCAGGGGGGGAACCCCCAGATACTGACCCAGCCCTCGTGGCTGCCGACTCTACCTGGGAGCAGGGCCCCAAGGGGACACCAGGCTGTCGTGCCCCCGTCAGTCCCTGGAGCGCCCCTCGTGTCCCAGCCCGCAGGGCCCAGCGGTGCAGGGGGAAGCTGCTGAGTGACAGGGGGCGCAGGACAGAGACAGGGCCCAGGCTGGGCAGGGACACAATCGCCCCAAACTCTTCCCCCAGCTGCGCGGGGTCACCCCAGTCAGGGAGCAAACGCCAGGCCTGCCCCTGGCACAGCAGCCCGGACACGACAGAAGATGAATCGTTTGTGTTTTATTGACAGCCAGTAACATGCTGGTGGATGAGGGGCTGAGGAGGAGGGTGACAACCGCCCCCCTCCCCGAGGATCCCAGCTACGGGAACAGGTTTCCAAAAGCCCCATGACAGGACAGGTGCCCAGGGATTAACATAGGGAATTGACGAGCAACAGCCTCGTTTGCAGTAACAGTTAATGAATCTCTCTCTCCCACGCTTCCTCGTCTGTACTCGGCATTTCTCTGCCCCTCAGTGCCCGGCCCTGTTCATTTTCCTGCGTCTCTCCCACTCTCCGGCCTCCCCTGTCGCAGACCATCCCCCACGGCTGCTCCCTCCTTCCCTCCAATTTGCCCCTTCCCCTCTGGCTGCCCTGGGCTGGTTTCCCTGCCACAGACACCAGCCTGCCCTGCATGCCTTCTGTTTGGCACCATTTTGCCAGGGCTCACCCTTCAGTCTGGTTTTCTGACTGTCCCCACCCCAACCCCTCCTCCACCTGTCCCCAGCCCAGCTGTTAGTTCTGTCCCTCCACAGCCCCTGCCTCCGCCTGTCCATCCTAAGCCAGATTCCAGCCTCCGCCTGTGTCCAGCCCAGCTATTAGCTGGGCCTCATGGCCAGCCCCCTCCTCTGCCTGTACATCCTACACCGAACCCGACTCCACCTCTTCATCCCCTGCCTGTGCCCAGCCCAGCTCTTAGTTCTGCCCCTGCCCAGCCCCCACGTCTGCTCCTCACTATTCTTCTGCTCCTGCTGCAGCCCCAGAGGTTCTTCCCCCTCCCCTCCTGGGGGCTGGAGGGATGGATCTGCGAGGAGGGAAAGCTTTCCAACATCATAGAGATGAGGAGCCAGGCCTGGGTAGTCCAGGGTCTTATAGACCGGGGTGTGAGAGGCCAGACAAGCTGTTGTCAGGGGAACAGTTGGAGCTGCTTTGTTGTACCCCACACCCCCAGCCAGGGTCGGATTCTCTCTCCGGGGAGGGAGCCCAGAGGGAAAGTGAACATCAGGGCCTCGGTTCCAGCATCGATAAATGTCACCTGCTCCCGGTCACAGTCCAGGAAAACCCGGATCCTGCTGGGGGGGCTCAGGGTCAGGGGGGTCACAGGGTCAGTGAGAGCCTGGAACTGTTGCCCCCACCACCGCACAGCCCAGATCCCATTCTTAGGGCTCAGGCTGATCTCTCCCTTCCTGCTCACAGACTCTCTGGCCACCCCCACAGCCCAGAATCTCCCGTACCCCACCTCCACCTCCCAGTAATGTCTCCCCGAGGTGAAGCGTCCCCATCCCCCCACCTCCACCTCCCAGTAATGTCTCCCCGAGGTGAAGCCCTCACGGCCCAGCACACAGAGCACAGTGTCAAATCTCTCCGGGGTGTCAGGCAGTCACTGACGTCTGCGTTCCCATTTCACACGTCTCTGATCCTCCGACAGGACGAGCTGGGGATGGGCCGTGTCTGGATCCAGAGTCACGTCGGCTGGGGGGGGGGAATGCCCGCGGGAGGGTCCGATCCTGCCCGGGACAGAACCTGCCCCAGCTGGGGAGTGACTCAGGCATCTCCCCCCTCCAGGCTTCCCCCCGCTCTGTCCGGGGAGCAGCGCTGAGAGCTCAGCCCCGCGCCGGGGGACTCACCCAGACCAGGGGCAGGGGCAGGATCGGCTCTGCTGAGCCAGGCCCCCACCCCACAGTCTGACTGGGGGTGGGGGAGGGCACCGCACACTTACCATAGATCGGCTCTATCTATGAGCAATGAGCCTTTTTGAGCAAGAGCTCTTGTGCAAAAAGGTGCGCGTGGACGGCAAATTAGGGTTTCTCGTGCAAAAACAGATGCTCGGGTGCTCTGATGGCCATTCCGTGAATGGCCATTAGAGCTTTCTTGCGCAAGAGCATCCATGCTGTGTGGACGCTCTCTTGCGCAAGAGCACTTTGCGTGGGTGCGCTCTGGCACAAGAACTTTCTGCGGAAGATCTCTTCTGCGAAAAGGTTCAAGAAGCCTGCAGTGTAGACGTAGCCTAGGGGAGCTGACAATGGGAATGCCAGCCACACCCACAGCAGCTGGCAGGATTTCTATGTCAAATCAAGCCTCACTTTTAGAACTCTGAAACGGCAGGATTTACTTTTCAACGAGAGCTGAAAAAAAAACAAAAAAAACCCCTGACATTGGAGAGTCCTATCGCGCGGTCATGAGTGAGGCTTCATGTTTCTCAGAAATCACATCGCATGTTCACATCGTGAGCGTTGGCTGTTGTGCTCATTTGTGACACCTGCCTAAGCCCTTTTTAACATTGTTTCTTTTGACTTCTAAAACAGAACTGTCGATCATTGTGTGCTGAATTTCCCTTTTCTTGACTGTACCGCTCGTGCATTTGCTAGTGTAATAATGTGGCTGGGGCTGTGATGCACGTGCATGAAGAGTTCTGCAAAGGAGGTGAGACAGCCTCTCTGATTTCCTAAAAAGTTCATTGTTATACTGTTTGATGTCCATGGTGATCCACTGCTCCCCCCTCTCTTCTGCCCCAGCCCCTCTGGTTACATGAACCAATATTTAAAAATTCTAACTTGTGACAGAGAAAAGAATCTACCTCTCTCTTTTAAGGAAAGATCTGTGTAGCCCCGTCCCCATTATGCTCTTCAGCTCCCATCAAAAGCAAAACGGAAAGAAAACCTGAGCTTTGGTGGTGTCGAGGAGCCACCATACTTCATGGAAAAGGTTTCACTCCCCCCCTTTGATCCCAGAAATTTACCTTTGCTCAGCTGCTCTCTAGACACCAGTGTGTCTAAAGGAAGAAACGAGTGAAAAAGATTCAGCGTCGTATTTATGAGCAGTCACTTGTTAATGTTCAAGCACAAAAGCAAAGTGAAAAGAAAACAAATCAATGAAGTTTCTAGCAAAATGCAGGACAATGTAGCACTTTAAAGACTAACAAGATGGTGAAGTTACTAGCACACTTACCCAGCCATTGCTTGCCATTTCAGCCAGACTGACCATTCCCTCAATGACCTTAAAACATGCATATTGCTTCAAAGGGATTTTAACTCCACACTTCAAAAAGAGGCTTCAGAATTGTCACTCATGCTTAAATTTGACACTTTATGTATGGGTCTCAACAAACACTTTATCTCACCCATTACAAAGATAGCTTCCCCAATTATCACCCCTAATTTCTTTACCCTAATTATCACTAATTATCACCCCTAATGTCTTTAATTATCACCCTTAATGTCATTACCTTACAGACACTACTAACCTTCCCCCTCTCTGTTCTACAACTTGATTTGTCAATTTCATATGTGTTCATTTTTTTTATTGTTTCACTTTGATATATATATGGCCATGCCAATCTTCTTCCATAACTTGATCTGAGGAAGTGGGTCTGGCCCACGAAAGCTCATCACCTAATAAACCATCTTGTTAGTCTTTAAAGTGCTACATAGTCCTGTCTTTTGTTTCAGCTAGACCAGACTAACACAGCTACATCTATACAACTATTATATATATTGGTTAGCCTCTGCGGTGCTAGATTTCTCAGTATAGTATATGTGAGAACATTCTCAAAGTGACAGTTAATCACCTCTGAATGTTTTCATGACGATGTCCAGGGATCCATTTCTTTGAGAAGACTCCCAGACTTTCCATTTCAGTTCAGAAGAAAACACCACAGGGTTCTGAAACTTCTCCCTCTCGCACCTGCAGAAGAACAGCCCGGTGTTATTTGCGATGGAGTTCATTCCGGTTTGTGTCTTACTTAAATGCATTTTATCACAGTGAGCGGTTGCAGGATGAAATGCTCTATTGCTCCATGAATTGACAGACTATCAGCCGGGAGACTGCAAGTTTGCCCTTCATTCTGGTGAGACCAGTACTGGAAAACTCTATCCAGTTCTGGTGCCCCATTTTAACTGGGCTGACCCCAGGCTCCAAGGCGCTTTGTGGTTTTAAAGGGGCAGCGTTGCAGAGCTGAGCCACGGATAAGCTGTGTGGTGGTCACCCTTTGAAATGCCTCCTTGGGGTTTCAAAGCAGCAGCTCCACACAGCTGATCCCTGGCTCAGCTGTGTGGCGCTGCCACTTTGAATTACCCCTTCCCCCCCTTTGCTGCCTCTCTCACAGTGGGGAAATTAACTAGTCAACTAACCCTCTGATAAGCAAATGCTTATTGGATAGTCGACTAACCCTAAACATCACCAATGGGAAGGCTGATCTCAGGCCCTCCCTGAGTCCAGGTCTGCACTAGTTCAGTCAAACGGATCTGCCTGCACTTTGCCTTGTTCACACGAGAGGCGCCCTCTGCCAACCGCCCTCCGCCCTCTGTCTCTTGTTGAGACTGTAAATTCATTGGTGCAGGGCCGGTCTCTTCCTGTGTCTGTGCAGCACCCAGCAAGTTTGCACCTGTTTTTGCCTGTTGCCTTTGGGCACTACCACTAGTCAAAGCACATTCCAAAGGCAGTAGAGCAGGGCGTGTCTGCCAGGCACAGCGACAGAGATCACTGTGTGATAGGAAACAAGACACCAATTGATTATTGACTAGTTGCCAGTTGACACCAACTCTTCATCTGGGAGCCATTCCCACACTCTGCCCTGCTGGACCCCAGGGGAGCCCACATTCCAAAGGCCGTAGAGCAGGGCGTGTCTGCCAGGCACAGCCACAGAGATCACTGTGTGATAGGAAACAAGACATCAATTGCTTAGTGACTAGTTGCCAGTTGACACTAACTCTCCAGCTGGGAGCCAGTCCCACACTCTGCCCTGCTGGACCCCGGGGAGCCACGTCGTGGGTCTAAAATCCCTTCCCTGCACAGGGACGTGAAAGAGAGAGAGAGAGAAGGAGCCACCTACCTGCGCAAGGCACCTTTGATGTCCTAGAGGAGACAGAGAAGAGGAAATTCAGTTTTCCCCGATGGAGGTTCACAGTGAAATTGAAATGATTTGTTATTTATTAACACAAACAAACCCATTCAATGTGTTGCCTTCGCTCCCATGAAAAAAGGCAGCAAGTGCAGGATCTAAGCCTAAGGTTTTTGTCTATGGAGCTCACTAGCTCGGTGCGTTACCCCATTTGGGCACATGGAATCAGAGGCTCAGGCGGGTGATGTGCGGAACAAAGATCTCCCGAACACTCCCGGCTTTGGGAATGACCCCTCCTGCAGACGGCAGGGGATCAGAAGGGAAGGCTGCCCCCTGGCCGTGCCGCCCCCAGGCTGTAAACTCTCTCCCTGCTCTCCCTCAACTGTTCTCAAGGCCCATCCTGTGAGCTTCTTGACGGCCACAGGGAGTTGGGGCTGGGGGAGAACAATGGGATTGGGGTAGAGAGTCACTATCCTACACCGACCCAGGCTCAACGCAGGGGACGCGAGGAGAGAAGAATGCTGCCCACAGCAGATATTAGTTACAACAGAGAATTTGACCCGCGATACCAATTGGAGAAGTGCAATAAGCTATGTTTTCTTTTTCACCTTCTGTCTTGTTTGCCACTTAGACTCACTTGTAGAAAATTGAAATTGTTATAAGGCTTTGGGAATTCTAACAACTACTGACACATTCCGGCTGTCCTAAGCAATGAACTCCTTCCCTGGTTAACTTCCGTTCTGGCAGAAAGAAAATGACCACAGTCCAAGAGCTCACGTATCAATTTTAAGGCCAATATTGAAGAGTGAAAGAAAATGACCAGAGTGCAAGAGCTCACGTATCAATTTAAAGGCCAATATTGAAGAGTGGCTAAATCAGGCATAAAATGGAAACTTTGCTTCAATTTTAGCTATTTCCATAACTAAAAACTGGTTCCGTCTTTAAGCTTTTGTAGCTAGTGTTTAGAAGATGGGAAATGCCAGACTGTCTCAGACCTGAGCTCCATCTCCTCACAATCATGTCTCCAAAGATGGACAGTCCTAGATGCTTCTGAGTAAGATGTCAGATATTGGGCTCTCTAATAGTTTGCGACTAGCTGAAGCAATGAAGCATGAGATTTAACAACACTCTAGATAATTCCTGTTATCAATGTAAATATCGGATCCCTTTTTTAGGTTGGCCAAATGTTTGGCCTCAACAGCATCCAGTGTCAATGAGTTCCACAGTCTAATCTTGGCAGGTATAGAGCGTTGGTTCAGATTTGATTTTGCTATCTTCTAATTCTATTGAATTTCCCTTTGGTCTTGCATAATGGGACAGGGAGAACAGAGCTTGGAGTCTGTCATTTTTGCAGGAGTCTTCTTCCATAAGAATTCAAAGATTTTTTTTTTCCATTTAGGGATCAATCCAATGCCTACCGTACTCAAGAAGTATATTTTCACTGACTTTATCGGTTTTTTATCAAGACCTTAAGAAAAAATAATCCATATTTCAACAATACTGTGTTCTGAAGTTTCACTCTTGCTCTCCAAAAGTGAAGAATTAGGAGACTTTCTTTCCCTGAGAAAGATTCTGGGGTGTTTCTAACATGGTCTCACCTGCAGGAATTCTATCTCTGGCTGCTGGCACTTCTGCTCCATCTCACTGATCAGGGAACTGAACGAGGACAATTCTTCAGATACTTTGGCCAAATACTCATCCCGCCTCTTTTCAATTTCCTTGTTCAGCTCTTCCAGCCGGGCCAGCAGGAGCCGTTCTTGTTCCTTCAGGAACTTGGACAGTTGCTCAAAGTCAGACACAATTTTCTGCTTATCAGTTTCTAGCTGTTTCTGAAATCACGGAGTATGAAGAGGGAAAGCAGAGGACAGGAACACAGAGTGAATTACGAGACATTTTATGAAGATGTTCGTATGCAGATGCAAACGTGCCACTGCAACCCCCCAGAAATTAACTAGAACAATATACTCATGAACTCTCCAACCCTTCATGCCCTAGGAGCAAGGAAATCAGAGCATTTCTAACTCAGAGCTTTTCCTGGCAATGTCTAGCAGTGATACCATCATTAAGGACCGGCTCCAGAGCTCACACAACTCATCCCGCATTTTTCCAATTACTGCAATAGGCTTTGAAGGCCTAAGTGACCAGCCTTCTCTGGGGCAGTGGATTCCTACAGCAACTGCACAAATTGTCCTGTTTCAGAGCGGTAGCCGTGCTAGGCTATTTTAGTAAACAAAGAGTTTTCTGGCACCAAACCTGCTAGTCTTTATAGTGGCATCAGATTCCTTGATGTTTATGTCCTGTGGGGGTTATCTCTGTTGAAAACCAAGCAGGCCAAAAGCTTGATTTAAAAAGTGGAGGCAAATAAAACAAATACTTGAAATCTTGAAAATGTTTCAACTTTTGAAAACTAAAATTAAAATTCCCATTTGAAGTGACACAAAAATGTGTGCTTCCTTTTGAAATTTCCTCTCAGAAATGGAAATTGTTGTTGCAAATGACTTTTCCCATGGGGAGAAAAAAGGTGTTTTCTACAAAGCCCCATTCACCTACATTATGGGTTTTCTGGCTGAAAAATTACACTCCTAGTATCAGTGAAAATATTTGGATTATTAAGACTTCGGAGAACAATTTCTTTTTACAGTGATAATGAATGAGGAATAGTCTTTCACAGAATGGAACCTGTTTCTTGCAATTTCTCTTACGAACTCAGTGTTAGGCAGTGTGTGGCTAATGGTCATTTGCATCTAAGTCATAATGGCACTTACCAGCAGTTCTTGGCTTTTCTTTTCCCCACTCAATTTAAATGCCTGAATCTTGTCTCTTTCCTTCTTCAAAATCTTCAGAGAGCTATGGATTTGGTCCTAACCAAAAAACCAGAAGACCCTACTTAGTTTTGTTTGCTTTTGAGAAATTTCTGTCTTTTTATATTGTCAAGGTTACTAAATACATTGAGGGTGTGGTCTAGCTACCTAGCTAGAGAGTCATTCTCATGAATGTGCTCTCTCTGTCTCTTTCTCTTTCTAGTTGGTCTAAATGGCTCTTTCTTCCCATTGGCACAGCTGTGAGGAGGCAGGTGGAGAAGGTCTCACATCACAATATCCCACAGTCTGTGGGTAGGGCACTTACCCAAGAAGCCCAAAATGATCATTCTAAGCAGTGAAACTGTTGCAAAGTCCCGCAGGTGTTTTTACAAACAGTTCCGGGAACAGACTCAGAGCTCTTTGTGATTGGCCTGTTCTGGCCCAGAACTGTGTTTTAAACACCAAAAAGGACCTGGAAAACGTGGTTCCAAAGTGGCCCAGAGGGCAAAATGTATAAAACAGCACATTAGCTTGAGGACAATATTTCAAGACTGAGAACCAATTTGCAGCACATTCCTGTTAACCCATTGGAGCCCAGAACCACTTTTTTTCAACACTGTCAAAAGTTGTAAAGCAGAAACATTTAGATCTATCTACACATTCCCAGAAAAACAACAGACTCTAATCTCTGACTTGCCCAACTGGGAGTGATTCGTCCCCAAAACATACAACAAATAAAAACAACATCTGAAAAGCAGAATCAGTGACAGTGGGTTATGCGGTGGGTACAACTTTCACTGCGCCCTGGAAGAGTTTGTGTCTCAGTTCTCCCAGGGCCCTGAATTCTTTGGAAGTTTTGGATTTTCCAGAAGTTACTCAGAAGTTTTAAGAGGCGACAATCCTGAAGCTGACAATGCTTATTTCACATGCCATGTTTCAGTTAGGAATACTTCTTAGGGTTGCCAGATGGTTTCAACAAAAATACCGGACACACTTGATATTACATCACAATCGACATTCCATCTTATTTAGAAAATACCAGACATTTCTATTTTCCCATTTCTATTTTCTCAATTTGTTTCCCGAACAGAAATCTCAAATAGTGGACTGTTCAGTTCAAAACCAGACAGCTGGAGAACCTAATACTTCTTGAAATCTTACAGTATCTCCTCTTTCTTTCTATTATTGTATTTAAATGCCCTCTCTGGCCATTTCCGCTGGTTGCTTACCTTGTAAACCTCAGCAGCTTCTTCTATGGGAACCACGGTGTGGTCTCTGTGATCTCGGGACAGGTGGCAAACCATGCAAATGGGGATTTGGTCCTCTTGGCAAAAGATTTTAAAACCCTCCTTGTGTTTCTCACACACTCTCTTCACTTCTGGGTCTTTCTTTGGCTCCATTGTCAGCGGTCTGGTGGCTTCTACAATATTCCTCAGCTGTCTGTTCGGTTTGAGGTTCCTCTGGGAGAAGGTTTCTCTGCACTCCGGACAGCAGAAGTTAGTTCTCAGTCCCTGCCAGCTCTGAGTGATGCAGGCTCGGCAGAAATTCTGTCCGCACTCCAGACACACGGGATCTTCAAAATAATCTAGACAGAAGAAGTCAATTTTCTCAGGAGCGTTTTTCCTGCCTTCAAGGGAGGCCCCGGCTGCTTTTGCTGTGAGGGGAAGAATCTTAGTTTCCTTTTCTCTTCTCAGAAATGGGTGGATTCTGAAGTTTGAACACCAAACCGGTTCTGACTCTGAAAACATTGTCTCTTGTTACTCTTGCAAGTCCGGAAACACCATGTGGCTCAGATGGCGAAGGGAGGCTGGACCACAAACACTGGCAGGGCAGCACCTCGCACGGCTGGTCCCTGCCATGGCACAGCGAGGCCTCTGCAGGGCAGTTGTATGAATAACAGCACCTGCCACAGCCCCACAGGGCTCCCTAGAGCATTTCTCCCCCCATCGCTGTGTCACCGCAGGGTGGGACTCCAGAGGGGCCTAGGGCATCGCCCCGGGCTCAGCTCTGCCGCAGGTGAGGCGGTTCTGGGGAAACTGACACATCATTGTGAGCTGCCAGCAGAGGTGCAGCCAGCCGGTGCGCCCCGGGGTGCTGTTCCAGCAGGCAGGAGCTGGCCAGAGAGGCAGCACGTGTCCATATGGGCTTCTGGGACTTCCTGCAGGCTGGTGCATTAACCAGCAGGCAGCCGGGCAGAGTAAAGAGGCTGGGGGGGGGGGGCCCTGACCCTCTCCAGGGCGCCCTTTAGGGAGGGGAGTTGAATCCCAAGATACATACTGGAATGCTCCCTGCTGTACCCCTCCCGCCAGCCTCCCAAACTAGTGACCATGCCCCCCCAACTCTCCTTTACACACACATAGCCAAGCCCCTGCTCTGAGCCCCACAACCACCCAAGCCCTCTGCTCTGAGCCCCATATCACACCACAAGGCCTTGTCCTGTTCCTACTCCCCTCCCAACACACACTCCACCAGAGACTTACATTTGTTACAGGTACTGTGGTATCAAACCCACACACCCAACAGTGCACCTCTTTTTTGGTGGTGGGTGTACACGAAACCACAGCACCCGTCAGAAATTTCAGTTACTTTCACCTGTGGCTGCCTGTCGTATTCCAGCCTTTGGAAGGGACCATGCTAGAGTCCAGCGCTGGCGGCAGTAACCATCTTCTCTCCTGCTGCATGTTTGCCCTCTGCAATTGGTACAATCATTTCCCGAGGCTTCTTCCTAGCCGTGTCCCCGCAGGGCAGCAGGGGGACTGGGAAGTGGGAAAGCAGGCGGCTGGGAGACAGGCAGGCATCACTGCCTCATTCTCCCCAACTTCAGCATGAACCCATTGGGCTCACGTGTGCCAAGAGCTTTGCATGAGGCACCGACGGGCCACTGAGCATCGATCTGACCCCTTCCGTGTCTTGATCATCAAAGCTACTCCGAGTGACACACGGGTCTGGTGGGTCTGTGTCTGCAGTGAGGTAGGAAATCGAGTGGTTTCCACGGTGAGGGGGTTTTAACCCACTTCTCAGAAAATAACAGGCAGATTCACATCAGATTACTGACTCCAGAGCAGCAGGCTCATCTCTGGGGGACAAACACCCTGCCGGTGTGTGAGCCACTGACACAAAAGCAGTGGGATTTCCTCTGCTCTTTGGGTTATGACCTGTGAGTTGAATTCCAATGAAATCCAACGGGGAGACATTGGGCCTATTATCTGAACAGAAGTGACTCTTCGGTCCTTACTAAAGAAATCATTTCGGACAGTAAAAATCTTCTCGGTGCTTCCTCTGTCTGTGATCTACTTTTGCGGGGGAAAGTTCACCAATATCATAGAGAAGGCGACTTAGGTGCTAGTTGGGGGCCTATGATTTCCATGACGGCTGTCAGTTGGGCTGTAAGCCAGCGTTCAGTGCACAGACTACAGTGGGAAAAACCCCTCGCCTGTCGGTGAGTGAAGATGCTGACTCTTCCACAGGAGAAAGGATGCAGGGAGGCCACAAGGAAGGGTTTAGAGACTCCCTCCAGGTCAAGCCATGTGGCATCGACCCCACATGGTAGGAGAGGGCAGCCCAGGAGAGGGCTACCCGGCAAAGACCCGCCTGAGAGCAATGCCCACTTTGGAGGGAAACTGCCTCCCGCCGGCTGAAGACAAAGACCAGCAGAAAAAAGCCAATGGCCATGTAGCAAGTGTGGCCCAACCCTGTCGGCCAGCAGCATCCGCAACATCTGTCAGTGAGACAGCGGCTCAGGAATCAGGATCCTCAGCCCCCAAAGGACCCAGTCACAATGAAACCTGTCCCAGGCTGCAATTATGAGCAGTTAAAAAACACTCAGGGAGAGACTCATCTCTCAGAATAATTCCTTCAGCCTCGCAAACAATAGACTTTGCATTTTTTTAAAGAAACAGTGTAAACCAGGTACATAACGGGGTTCCCCCCCCCCCTCGGATTTAACAATGACATCTGTATTGGCTGCCTTACTCTGCATCCATGAAGACTTTAAGTTTAAGGTGCTTCAGTCCCCTCCATCCCCCTCCCGCAGAGCCAAGCACCCTCAGCCCCTCTACTCTAACCCAATCCCCGTCTGTTCCCCCAGAGCCTGGCACCTTCAGTCGCCTCCCTTTTGGGTGTTGGCTGGGGGGCTGAGAGAACCAATCAAGACAGGGTTGACATCTAATTGGATACAGGTTCCCTGACTGCTCTCTTTGGCTATGTCTCAACTGCAGACTTTTTTCAGAAGAAGCTTTTCCGGAAGAGATCGTCTGAAAAAACGTCCTCTGAAAGAGAGCGTCCGCACAGCCAAACGTGATCTGCTTTTTCGACAGATAGTGTCCGCACTGAACGGATGCTGTCTCGTATGGACGCTGGGATTACTATGGATGTTGTAGCCACCAGGGTACTTGTGCTTTTTCCTCTTTCTAAAAGAGCTCTTTCGCAAAAAGGCTTCTTCCTCGTAGAAAGAAGTTTACCGATGTCGGAAAAACACCCTCTGTTCTTTCCATTTTTTTTTTCAAAAGATTGCACTGTGGACAGAAGTGACGTTTTTTCACAAAAAAACACCGTGTTTCCCCAAAAACTCTGCAGCGTAGACATACCCTTTGAGTGGGAGAAAAAGTTGAGAGCCACGGAATGATTTAAACCCAGGCAGGACTACCAGGGCCCCACAGAAGTCAGGGCATGGGAGCGGATTGAACAAAGAGAAATTTAGAAGTAAGTAAAAGGGAAAGTGAATCCAGCCTCATTCAGGGTCATTTTCTTTATTTGGCGGTTTGGTTTGAGGTGCTCTGGGCGAATCTCTGCCTCCCTTTTTCCTTTACCGTCTAAGCTTTGTGCCGAGAATTTTCTCAGGGGTTTCATTTGTTTTCCTTGGTTGCTCTGTAACATCCAGCAACCAGCCTGCTTTCTCCAGTTTAACTTTTGTTTTGTAATAAAAATCCCTTCGTTTAAGGGAAGGATTTGAGGCCAGTTTCTGGCCAATAGGAACTGAGAAATTTTGCTGGCCAGGGGCAGCCAATGAAGCCTCCTCCCTCTTCCCCCTCCCGCCTGGGGCAGAGCCACATGGAGCAGCTTGTGACTGCAGCCGTCAGGTTCCTGCAGGGCTGCTGGCTGGGAGCCGCCTAGGTAAGTGCTGAAGGCTGCTATCAACCTCCCCCCCCCCCCCCCCCCCAGCTCCCTGCCACAGGCCACTACCCAAACCCTCTGTCCCCCTTTCATCCAGGTCACACCTCCCTCCCAGGCCCTGCACCCCCTCAGACCAGACTCCTTGCCTGCACCCAAACCCCTTCTGGACTCTGCACCCCAAACCCCTGCCCCAAATCACAGCCCCCCCCTCTTCACCCAAACTCCCTCTCAGACTCCACACCCCCTCCTGTGCCCCAGTCTCCTACCCCAAGCTCCCTTCTGCTCCCCACCTCTGTCCCAGGCCCCAGGGCCCCTCGGTAGAAATGCAGCCTTTGAGCACTTGCCAAGATCTTGGCATGCCCCCCCCTTCCCCCATGACAGATGATTGCTCGTCCCTGGTCAAGAATCGCTCGCGACGGTTTTATGGTGAAAAGGCTCCGTTTCCGTCCCAAAGGGCCGTCGCTGCCCGGCTCAGAGCAGGACGGCGTCGCGTTGGCAAATCCACGGGAATTCAGAACTGCAGCTTTGTGAATGAATCTGATTCCCCTTCACCACCCCACAGCTGCTCCCCTCGGCCGGGCCTGGCGCCGGGAGGCTGCGGGACAGAGGAGAGGGCCCGTCAGCACCTGTGGGCCCATCACGCTCACTTGGCAGCGGCTCTTCCCTGTGCCAACAGGATTCACCCCCTCCCTCCCCTCCACTCCAGCTCTGCCCTGGGCTTGCCCCTCCCCATCATGGCCAGGCTCTGGCCAGGGGCTCTAATGGCCTCTCCCTACCCATAGTCCAGCCCCCTCCTCCCTGCTGTGCTAGGCCCTGCCCATCTCCTTCCAGCTGCTCCCCACTGGGCTGCCCCCCTTGTCCCCTCCTGCCTCTGGCGGCTCCATGTCTCCCCATCTGCTGCCCCACTCTCTAGGGATCCCCAGGGCTCTGGCCTGGCCCCTTTGCTCTTCTCCCTCCATGCCCCGCCACCTCCCCAGGGATCCATCCGCCATCTCTGGGCTGGGGGACGCACAATCACTCCCTGACCCACGGCCCCGTCTGCTCCCACCCTGCCCCCCTCTCAGCTGGACTCCCTGGACACTGAACACGGCGGGCCTCCTCTGGCCCCAGCCGCTTGTACCCACAGCAGGGAGGGAAAGTGCCTGAAGGAATCACTCACCGGGTCTGATCCAGCCGGGATCCATCCAGCCAGGTCCAGCCCTTCTCCGGGGAGGGGACGGACAGTCCCACCCAGAACAGAGCTCTGCCTTGGGTCAGATCCTGGAGGGCCGCCTGCAGGGAGGGGGTGACAGGCAGCTGGGGACCAGAATGTTCTCGCATGTCTGTGTTGTCATCAACTCCAGCCCCAGGATTACAGGCCGTGTGTCTGGCAATCGCCATATAGACCCGTCCGTCCATCCATCTGCCTCTCTCCCTCTCCCACACACACTGGGGAACTCCCAGCCCCCAAGTGTATCTAACATGCCCCTGGCAACTCCAGCAGGGTGCTACTATCCCCAACGGGGCGCAGGACACTGGACAACCCCTCTCCACTCCAGGGCCCCCGGCCCCACCACTCCCCGTCCTTGCTCAGTCCCCACCCCACCCCCACTCCCTCCCTTCCCCCAAGCCTTCCCCCTGCTCTGTGCTTGTACAACCTCTTCCTGCTCCTGTGGCTGCCTCTTTCCCCAATCCCACCCTTGCCCTGCAGGATTTCTGGTCCCAGCACCATGGGTCAGGGCCCCGCTCACTCACCATGGCAGCAGGAGGCAAAACAACCCTGTATCCCTGAGCTCACATCCCAGTGGTGCCACTGGAGAGCAAGGCTGCTTCCCAGCACCTCTTGGGAGTGTGTGTGTGTGGGGGGGAACTGATTCCTACCACCAGCACAAGGTCCCAAGCTAATCCCCCAAATCTTCCTCCCCTCCCTCCGGAAGCATAGGGTCCAGGGCAGCTGGCCCAAGCCGCCCAACGGCCAGGACGGTTCTGCCTCCCCTTACCAGCTCCTCCCGGTCCTGGATCACCAGCAGCTGGGAGCCCCTCGCGGTGCAGTTGCTGCGACTCTCGTTCCAGGTTTTACTTCCCATGCCGACCCAATAGCACTTGTCCCCGCGCAGCCGCCAGTCCATGGGGCAGAGTTTGCACCCGGCACCCCCTGCAGAGAGACGGGCCCATTAATGCTCTGAGACCCATTTCCGGCTCCTCCCTCCCTGTGACGGGGTCAGGGCTGGGGAGACAATGGGTCGGAGTCTCCCCCTTTGGGCTCCCTGAAATCCAGGGCTGGCCCAGGCCCTGCCTGGTCCTTGGTGTCACTTACAGCAGCCTGCTCTGCCTTATCCATATGGGCCTAGGGTTGCCACGTGTCCGGTATTGTACTCCTTGAACACTCTGCCGGTAAAATAAATCAGAAACTACCAGGCACGTGCCATGTGCAATGTCCTCCTCCCTCGTGCGTCGCCGGGACCCTGCGCGGGACAGGCAGCGAGTGCCCAGGTCAGACCCGCTCCTCGCTGGCCAATTTGCTCACCCCCTCCTTCCCAGCTGGCCGGTTCTCCCCCACTTCCTCTCCTGATCTTCCCTGGCCAGCCCCCCTGTACCCCCCCAGCTCTGCTTCCCACCGGTCCGTTCCAAGGGTGTCACAAGGAGGAAGGTGAAAATTTGTTCCTCTTGGTTTCTGAGGACAGGACATGGAGTAATGGGCTTAAAGTGCAGCAGGGGAGGTTTAGATTGGACATTAGGAAAAAATTCCTAACTGTCAGGGTGGTCAAATATTGGAATAAATTGCCAAGGGAGGTGGTGGAATCTCCCTCTCTGGAGATATTTAAGAACAGGTTAGATAGACATCTGTCAGGGATGGTGTAGACGGAGCTTGGTCCTGCCTTGAGGGCGGGGGGCTGGACTCAATGACCTCTTGAGGTCCCTTCCAGTCCTATGGTTCTATGATTCTATGATCTATGTCATGAGACCCCCCAGGACTCTGTGCCCAGGGCCCAGCCCGGCAGCAGCAGCCCCAGCTGGGGTGTTACCATCCACCTTACCAGCTCCTCCCGGTCCTGTATCACCAGCAGCTGGGAGCCCCTCCTGGCGCAGTCACGGCGACTCTCGTTCCAGGTTTTACTTCCTGTGCCGACCCAATAGCACTTGTCCCCGCGCAGCCACCAGCCAATGGGGCAGAGTTTGCACCCGGCACCCCCTGCAGAGAGACGGGCCCATTAACACTCTGAGACCCATTTCTGGTTCCTCCCTCCCTGTGACGGGGCAGGGCTGGGGAGACAATGGGTCTGAGGCCCCTTTGGGCTCCCTGACATCTGGGGCTGGCCAGGGCCCTGCCTGCCTCTGGGGTCACAGCAGCCTGGGGGCTGCTCTGCCTTATGCTTGGCTCCAGCGTGCACCGTGGGCAGCAGAGAATCTCCATAGTGCTCTGCGCTCTCGCCCCATCCCCCAGTCTGCCCCCTACACTGGGGGCTGGGAGTAGGAGGGTGCAGGGCCTTGCCCCCAGCTCCACAACAGCCAGAGAGACCCTGGCGCAGGGGGAATTGGGGGCCAATTGGGATCTACCTTCAGGCCCTGTTTTGCTGCCAGGGCAGCGTGGGGCTGTGGGGCAAATCATCAGGGTGCGGACAAGGAGCTGGGACAGGTGGGGGAGGGGATGTGCAATGGGGAGGCAGATTTGGGGAGGGGATGTGCAATGGGGAGGCAGGCGGGGCGGGCAGGCGGGGTGAGTCCGTGCAACAGTCCCTCTGCCCGGATCTCTCCCTGCTCTGCAGATGTTTGGCTGCCCTGACCATAGATTATTTTATACCCTGCCTGGGTGGTGACCCCCTGCTGCAGTACCAGATGTGGCCACTAGGTGTCTCTGCCCCACAGGGGTCACACCCAGACCCAGCTGAGGCAGGTATGTTTCGAGTGGGGCAGAGGGGGAGTGTGGGGCAGCCAGTAGGGGGCG